CCTTCTACAGAGGAAAACACACTCCTTTGTCTACTCTTTCCTCCTTATCCTCTAGATCTCTTCTCCCCTGCTCTTGTGTTAGAAGATAAGATAAAGTACCAAAAAGATACCAGCTTAACAGACTGAGTCTCACAGTGTATATTCTTTACAAAAGGTGAAATTCATCCTGAAACATTGTGGAACTTGTGTTAAGCCTCACAAGTGACTTGCTTATCTCAGATTTTCACACACAAAATAAAAAAAAAGTGAGCTGAACTTATGACATTGTTGCTGAATGTATAGCAGAGAAAATGGAAAGCATGCTTACTTATTAAGAGATGAGCACTGGACAGCTATTTGACCCAACAGAACTCAGAAAAACAGGAACAAAACTCTGAAACCTGTTTCAGAGTTTCTGTTAATCTGATGTCTTCTCTGAGAACAAATGGACTGGTAGAGTCATTCCCACCACAACGTTCTTTAAATATAAGGAATGTCAAGTCTTGCCTGGAGAAACTGCTGGTTTAAGAGTAATTAATACGACCATTAAGATCTTTCCTGAAATAAGGACATTGTTGACATAGATATAGATGCTTATTCACTGAAAATATTTAACTGCTGACATTTGAGAGAAAATGCACAAAAGCAAAGGGCTAACAATGAATAAAAATCACTTTCCTTTGATTACTGAATTTTTATTTTATCTGCAATTGCAAAAACATTCTACCATGAGTAAATGCATATGTAAATTAACAGCTTTTTAAAACTTCACATGGCTTTTAAACATCGTTCAGATGTAAAAAAGGCATATGCATATTTTATTTTTTGTTCACAGGCTGTCATTGTCCTTGCACGATATGTCTTCACTGCTAGAGGATTTCCACTAAGACCAGTGTGAGGGACCGTGAGAACTGTGGAACCATCATCTGCTCAGAGCTCTGCCCTTTGCCAAGTAGGAAGAGTCATGTTAAATTTTACGTTTTACCTAAAATTTAGGCTGCTTTCCTTTCCTTTTGTTCATCTCTTCCCATCCTGGAATAATTTGGCAATTATAAATATGGCAAGATAAAGAGGTGAAATGTAAAACCATAGGAGGTGTTCACTCTTCTCCCGTCTTCATAAGGTATGGTTTTATCTTCTGTTTACAACCCATGGCCCCTAAAGCTTTTAACTCTGCTTTGGAAATATTCTCTTGAAAACCGAGTTGTTTGTGATGCTAGTCCCAAAAGGAGAGAAGTGACATTTTGTTACTGAGTTTCATCTTAGTGAGAGAAAACTTGATTGTCTGTCTTTATTTGTGTTTCCTCTAAAGCATCATGCACTGCTGTCATAGGTTCCTAGGCTGGCCTTGGAAAGGATTTATTGCTGTGTTGCCAAAGTCGATTCAAAGTAAAGCGAAACAGGCAGCAGCCTGTGGCAATAGATTGCAGGCAAGGGCAGGCTGTCTGAGACTGCCTGAGGAGATGGTGGTCTCCACTGATCTAAATGGCTTATGCCCATCTTCCTGACCTCTTTAACAGAACGACGATTTCACACATAGCCCTGAATGACCATCAGATAGCACTAATTAAAGAAAAAACTTTCAGGATTTTGGCTTTAGTTTTCAGTATTCATAAAAGGTGCCTTATTTTGAAATAATGAGATCACGCAACACATTTAAGCATTTCACAGGGACAATGTTCTGGAGCATTGTTCTTCACTCACAGTCCTGCTTCCTGTGCTCTGCCATGCTATCTTGTTATCCCTTTCACATCCAGATATCTTTGCATCAGAGATGCTTCCCATAATGACATTCAACATCCCACAGCACTGATCTTGTATCAGGACACACTAGCCCAGAACTTTACTGATATGAATCACTGATTTAAGAATAAATACAAATGAAGACAAGAGCTTGCAAACATTAGTTCAAATGCTGGCCCAGTTTCACAGGCAGTCTACTGTAAAGACCCATTTTGAAAGAAGGGGCAGGAATTCCTTTCTTTTACCAAGAGTGACTGAAGAAAACCGAGATCTATGCACCTTGCTTACATATGTGCAATTTAGCATTTTGGGGCATGATCTGGAAGCTTTTACGCGTGTCAAATTCTTTTTACATAACTGTGGGTGTTTAACTTAAGTTTCCCTATTAGTTAAATATTGACGGTCAAATGCTTTTTTCAGAACGGATATAAACTGGGGAGGGGAAGTGGGGGCTAGTTAAAATGGAACTCTCTGCACTCTCCAGGGTGCTGAATTAGGTTTTTGCTGGCGAACATGCTCTGAACGCAAGTAAATCCAAGCATGCTTTCAATATACAAGTGGTTATGCTTTCCCTCTCTTGTCATTCCTGTAGGCTGAGGGTATCCAAAGGAATTGGGAGTGTGGGCAATATCATTGGATGTATACAGTGCTCTTATTATTTCCAGACTGAAAACTGGAACAATGAAGGCACTCTTTCATCAAATGATACTTTACAAATGATTGATACCCTTTTCATTCTTCCCTTTGGGTTTCGTCTTCCTCATGCCGGCCAATACTTTTATATGGAACATTTAATAGGGGCCTTGCATTTGCCATCACAACCAGCACTTCTGGATAGGGTGGAAGGCTGAAGGAGTGAAAAACATGAATGAAACAGAATAAGTAAAAGGAGGAATGTCATATAGTTGTTTTCAGTTTGGGGTTGTTATATGTTTGTTGCTGATATTTTTAGTTTTAAAGAGCTATTTATTTTTCCCTGGTTTTGTGGTCAGAGGTTGCTGAACAGTTTCTTTAACCAACCAGTTAAAAACAGAATCATCTAGACACTTCTTTCAAAGGAAAGTTTCAGTCCATATGCTTGTGTTTTTGGTGAAGTTGCAAAAAATAAAAAGGAGGAGTGGGGGGGGGGACAGAGACAAACTGGAATTGCTACAAGTTCCCCCCAGAATGATAATGTGAATTAATTAATTCATTGATTTTATTTCCACCAAATGGATAGAGTTTATTAGTAAGAAAGAATGAGCATAGCAACTGTGTTCTAGACTATAAGTCCTAACATAGCTTATAGGACACCAATTTTCTCTTCACATCACAGCTGTTACTAATTTTTTCAGGCTTTTTTGAAGATCTTGAATTTTTTATTTTGTTTTTCTAGTGAAGCCATTTCTTCATTTCGGTTTCAACACAGAAAAATCTGCATAGCTTCCATAACTGAAGGGATCAGTCTTCATTTCTTACAGCAGTTCCATCACTGAAATAGGGAGATTTACAGAACTGTTAGATACTGCCTTGGGTCAGGCAGTCGGCCTTGTAGATTGTCTGTATTAATACTCAAAGAATGTAGCAGTGCCTACATGCATAAAAGGCAGTTTAGTGCTTCAACTCATCTCCCATGTGATAAAATGCTCTGCAGAAAGCAGAGACTGTCTCTTTGCTTCTTACAGACAGCCTGGGTACAACCATTTGAAGCCACACATCATGGTGAAACTGTTCCTACACGTTATCATGGCTAAGAAAAGATGCTATAGCTAAAGCAGAACAGTACCTGGCACTCAGCAATGTCTAACTTTTAGGAACCCAGTTCTGGAAGTGAAATTCACAAACTCAAAGTGGATGTTTAGGAGCTCAGGCACTGCATATAGAAAGTTTAGGTCCTCAGAATGGAACCTGCAGTGAACAGAAGAGCACAGGAATGTTTTTTCAAGCCTTAGCTGTTATATACTGTCCCAAATCTTTTCTAGCGTTTGGTTTTCATACTATTCCTTTATGTTTCTGTCATGACTGGTTGACTCTTTTCTTCTAAAATATAGCACCTAGAGGAAACAGTGATGAAGACAGCAGTGGCAGACAGGTTTGGTCTTGACAAGTGTCTCCTTGCCAGCCAGAAGGGGTTCAGATCTGTAGCTCAAAACTAGGCATTAGCCTGTGTCTCGCCACACTGGCCTTTTGATTATATGTTACATGCTTGCTGTGCATCGTGCTAAATACAGGTGTATCAGGGTATGGAAGATATGCTCTCAGTACGTAGCTGCATCAGGCTTGACCCAAAATTGTGATATGCTACATTTGTCAGGGTGAAGGAATGAGTCCATACCTTACAAAGTCCAATCTAATAATCTAAATACTAAATCATCATCTTTTCCCTGGTCAAGAAATAAGAGTCAGATGCTTTCTGTTCTATTTCTGCAGTGGTTTCAGACCTGCCACTACTATGTTAAATTTCCATATTTGCAATAAAGATGAGTACTGCTTTTCCTTTGAAGTAAAACAACTTTAAATCCTAAGATATCCAAGATATTGTGAAAGTTCTTGGAAGTACTTTTTTTCCTCCTAGATGCTTTCACTAATTATTTAGAGCTCGGACAATTAATTTCAAGAGAGGTCAGAGGTGAGGACAGTAATTTTGCATTTAGAAAATTACTGTCTGGAAAAGTTAATACAGCAGAGACAGTATTAATTGATAAAGAAAGCATTTCAGGGAAGAAGCACGAGCGAAAACTGGAGAAGGATTTCTATGGCTACAGACAGTTAATGGTCCTTTTCTGTGGGTCCCCTACAGTACTATCTGGAATACTGTATTCAATTTTGGGTACACCATAAACAGAGAGTCACAAAGCAGCCAAGGACAATGTTCTGGAGGAGCTGATATTTAGAGAAGTAAGAAGGAGTAAGACAGAGCAGACTACAGATATTAGAAAAGAATAAATACCAAGAACATTTTTTTTCAGTGGCATGGAAATATAACTGGGAATTTAAGAAAGTAAGAACTTTCTGGGCTAGTCACTCTAAGGAATGAGAGACACTACAACCTTAAAAACAGTTATGAAAAAAGTTGAAGACCACATAAAATAGTAACATTCCCCCAATGCCAAAGGAAAATATGTAACAGTTAGCTTTCTTTCTCTGTCGCTGCATGACTGCAGAAAACATGCGTGGGAACATCCATGGGAAACAACTCATATGAAAATGAAATGCTGAAATGTTGGCATTTTGGTCAACAGTCTATTTTCTATTTCAAAAGGAAGAAAGAGGAAAAAAAGAGAAAAAATAGTACTTACCTCCTTTTAGCATGGTTAGGACATTTAACAATGAAATCAGGAATCTAATGCCAGAATGGTTATGTTTTGGATTCCCTTCCTCTAACATTAATTAAAAAAGAAAAAACAACAAACAAAGAGTGGTTCAGAAAAGGCAACAGCAATAGAAAACTCCACTTCTCCATGAGTTAAAGTAATACGTAACGAAATGCTGGTTTTGATTTTGCCAAAACTTAGAGGCAAAAACCAAACAGCTGAGGCAGCCTATTTAGACTACTCAATATGAACGGCTGCTGTAAAGCCTTCAGCTTTAGCCAACATCTAATTCATTTTTTTTTCCAAGCGTGAAGTAAGGAAATGCCATTATTAATCTGTTGCAATTATCTGTATGCAGGTAGGAAAAGGGCAGGAAGGGAAGGGAAGATGATCCTAAACAAAAGTGCACTGTCATTCATGCCTGCTGATTTTGACAACAGGAAGGAGCACAAGTGTCCTGTCTTAGCACAAGTAAGCCTGGTTCTTTCTCTGTCTTTTCCAGGGGAAACCATATAAGGCAGATAACAGGGAGGGACACTGTGCTAGCAAGGGTGGGACTTGATAAGCCGCGGGGCAGAGTCAGGCAGCCAGGATCCCTGCACCTACGCTGAGACTCTGCCATATGGAGCTGAGGGAGCAGCAAAGAAGAGGAATAGACGGACATGCGACAAGAGAGAGGAGGTACTGTTTGCCAGATGGTTTCAGGTTTTTCTAGGCTTTATTTCTGACTGTGAGGAATTCCACATTTTGGTTAAGCAGGCTAGCAAATGTGTTTCAAGTAACCTTCTTTGTAGCTGCTGGGTAGCCAACTTCTGCTACAATTACTTGCCGAGGTAGCCTCAGCACCCAAAAATGAATGATATAGAGGGAATGTGCTTCTGATAGGTATTTCACTCGTGTTCTTGTTGTAGATTGGTTCGGCTGAAAGGCTTCATGTTTTAAGTTTGCTGTTTGGTCCCTAAAGCTTTTCAGTATTAAGAGAATTGATAAGGGAAAAGAAGCTGTGGGATTAATGTAGCAATACATTGGTCCAACTTACCATCACCAGAGAAATGAGCTCTGAGCTTCTGTAACTAGTCCACTACTCCATGTAAATATTTTGAGGAATAACTTGGATTTTATGGAGTAACTTGGAGGGCTTTGTTTGGGTATACTAAAGTGGCAGTTTATCCGCTCACACACAGGGATCTTCAAGCAATAATGAAAAGTAAGCTTCATTGAAAAGAGGGGAGGAAGGCTGAAATTCTCTGTCTCTCTTTAAATGATTCTGTTCTTCAGAGGCTTTAGCAACTCAGCATGTGGGTGTGAGTCTCCTCTGACAAAGGCGCAATCAGCTGCAACCCCTAAGCATGCTGGCTTTTCATTGCAGATATCACAGTACTTTACGATATGACATTACAGCCATAATTTTGACATTAATGTCAGCAGTGCCTTGCGCTTTGAAGTTAAACAAAACTTTTAATGACACCTTTAATGTTTTCATATGCATGTCAGTATCATTTGAGCTAAAAGTTTTAGATAAGGAAGCTTTTCATGGTAGTAAGAAAGGAGTCACTACAAAAATTGTCACTTCAGAAAACAGACAGCTGCTCTCAGTCTGACAAAATGATTAATATTATTATTAATATTTGTATATTAGCAGCAATTTAGGTCTGTCCTGTGAAATTTATACTGAGCTATAAGAGCCTTATTTTCTGTTCTGTTTTCCCCAGGTACTTCCTTGAGACTAGCAAAGTTAGCAGCAAATATTAAACTACTTGAAGAAAACCAAGTATCAGGCGAGAAGTCTTTGATCTTTTCCCTTGTAAAAATATTAACCTCCCAGTGACATTTAATATTAACGAGATCCTATGTTTTCCTGCCAGTGACATTCAGTATAAACAAGATCCTACTTTTTACTACTGAGAAAAATTCATCCTGAGCACGGTAGACTGCAAGATCAGATCCCATGAGGTGACAGAAATAATTCATTCTGATGTTAAAATCGTTCTATAGCACTGACATTCTAGACAAGATATCTTGAGATGTAGGTGTTGAAGGTCCCTATCCATCTGGCGTGCTTCAGGCAACAGCAAGTTTATACATTCCAGGAAATAAGCGCAGTTCTACCTCTAATCAGGACAGCTCAGGAATTCTTCAACTTAATATCATAGGATCAGCTCTCAAGACAGAACTCTGTACTGATGTTGCAGTATTTTAATAGTTTTAAGCTTCCTTCTTAACAAATGTAACTTTGAATCTTAATTTTATCTCTTCCTCTGGAAGTCTTAACCTCTTTTTTGTTTCAGTATTCAGTTTACTCTGGTGTCTAGCATTTGTCAGTTGTCTTATATGTTCTTCTGATTTAATTTCAGAGGCTCTGAGTGACAGCAGGTGACAGGCTGACAGCTCACACTCTTGTGCCACGGAGAAGTTCCATGATAGCAGCAGAAAGTCATCTTATCAGCTACTGGAGAACACCCTGGGCAAGGAAGACATACAATACCCTCTTTTATGATTTTAAATATTGATCAGGGTTCGCAATACCTGTACATCGTTACAGAATGTCCTATAGTAATGGAGAAACTGTTGGGCACCCAATGTACAACCTCTGTGGACAAGTTCAAAGCTCCAGTTGCCAGCTAAGTAGTCTGGATGAAAATAGGAAGTCTGCAACCTTGCTGGAAGTCAGAGGGAACTTAAACAATATGCACTACTCTTCAGTTGCTCTGGATCCAGACACCACAGTGAATAATGGATCTGGAATTCCCTGCAACCCCAAGGAAAGCACAAAGGCGTCAGCTTTGGCAGGAAGTGAAATCCGTAGGGCCTGCACAACAAAGTGTTTCTATGGCCGTTATTTAGCTAAAACTAGTATGCAGGGAGACGTCTACAACTTCCTGGAGAGGCCTAGTGGATGGAAGTGTTTTATCTATCATTTTACTGTGTAAGTATCCACATTTTCACATAATTTTTGGTGTAAGAAATATTTGAAACTGTCCATGTGATCAACTAGAAATCACAGTACCTTAGCTCCAAGGCTGAAAACCACTGTCACATGAGTAATCTGATTGAAAGCAATGGGAAAGCCAGTTTCACAAAGGATCAGCCGCTAATATCTATTAACATTTCCAGTGGAGCACTTTTTATTCTTTATTTGATGTTTGTCTTCCAAAATACATGTGTTGGTTGATATCTCTGAGGTGAGGTCCTATATGGTCATGGCAGTTTTTAGCTTTGCCTTAGCTGCTTGACATTGCTCCAGCTTCAGACACTGCAGTTTTTGGCTGGGGATATGGAAGGTTTAGCTGTGATCAGATGTATCGCATTTTTGTAAGTGCATTTTGCTCATGCTGAAGTGCCAAAACAAGTAATTTGTTGACAAACATTTAATCCTAACACTATTAATTTGAATTAATTTACAGGAGTAAATACTGAATGAGTACATGTTTAGCAAGAAGTCATTCATTATACCATGTATTAGTATAGGCGTGGAGGAAATTAAGGCTTCCGTTTACCCTTGTAAAGCAGTGGTTAAGAAATTAATACAGCTGCTTATGGCATCTGTCAGGTATAGCAGGGCCTCAATTACTATTTTGGATGGTGCTTAAAAGTAATGACAGTTTGTCATATTAGCTGTAGAAAAGGTCTGAATGTGCTCTCACTGAAGCAAGCAGAAGTTTCACTGGCTACAGTGAATAAGAACTGAGCCCAAAGTCCTTATTTTTATTGTAAAATTAATATAGATCCTCAAGAAAGGCAGAATGCTGAGATTATTCTCTTTTATCTCGGGTACACTTTCCTAAGGCCTGACAGCATTTTGCAAAAACCACTATCAGTTACTGCAATAAGGATTTGCCCAGAGAAAGACACAGTAATTATTTAAATTGAAAGTGAATAATAATGCTTCTTTTTGGCATAAAGTATTTGTTCCGTTAATATTTGTTTCCTTTCCCCCTGAAGATTGTCTTTGGCTGTTGTAAAAGGATGTTTTGATTTGTGAAATCTTACCAAGCAGCAGGATAGGGTCTGTTTCATGGACTGTGCTTATAGTATATAGTCATGCCTAAGGCATGACAGGTGTAAGTTGTGTAGATTTAAATATATGAATGGTCATGAGTCAGGCCTATTTGAGGTTAGGACTTATTAATCTTGATAAAATATATTTGTTATCATCATCTGTGTTATTTTTATCTCAAACTAAAGTTGACCTTTAATAGGTACTTATATTCTGAAATTGACTTTTAAGTGAAAAGTCTGTGTATATAGCTGAAATATTAATAAGCTGTCTGTGTAGCCTGGGGGATTTGGATTTGCAGCTTTCTTAGCGGTCTTTTCATTCTTCATATGCTACAAGGACCACATAACTCATTTACAAACTTGTGGGAAGTTTCTATCCAAATGGGACTGCTGCAAAGAACCTAACTCTTCTGAAAAAAAGGCAAAATGAGGGAAGAGCAAGTGCTCTTGGATGTGACATTCCTTTTACATTCTGAAATTAGCAAGATAAGCTCTTATCTCATATAATATTTATAGTGTCTCTGATACCTCAAGTTTCTTTTAAGGGAGTAAACACATGCTTCTTAAGCAACTTTATCATGTATATTAGAGACGAGAATTATTTTTGCCTAATTAAATCTGGAATTTGTGTTATTTTAATAAAGTTATCCCAGGCTAAATTTATGACCTTTCCTGAAAAAAAGTTTCAAGGGGTGAACGGGTTTGTTTGAGAATTCTCCCTCCCAATCCTGAAAATCTTCTCATTCAGGTAATTTTCAGCTACGCTGGAAAAACTGTGAACTATTTCCTTCTGAAAACCTCAAGAACAGGGTAGAGAATTGTACTGACAGAAGGAGGTAATGGCTTCAGAAACAGCTGTGATGTGCAATAGCAAATACATTGATCCTAACCAACCAGTTCCTGCTGCTCCTTAAGAACCTTAAGGTATTGGGTATCAATATATGTTACGGCTCAGCTGCTGGCCGTACGGTCCTCAGTCCAGAAAAATAAGTGCGTACCAGGCTTGAATTTGATTTCCAAGCTCAACTATACACTTGTTTAAATCCCATCCACATGTCAAGATGCCATGGTATAACCCTCAGATATTTTCTCCTAAATGAGAAATGCAATACACAAGTTTCTTGCACTTATGAATTGGTGATGAGTTATGTATGGTAATGAAGTTACCTGGCAAATCCACGTAGTTAAATCATTTAATTGTAAGTGGAGCCTTAATCAAGTGATGAGTTTACATTTCTCTACATATACATATGTATGTATATATTTTAATTGCAAAAGGCTCATTATAATGGCAAATGGCTCATTCAAGTCTGAAATATTGTGCTCATTTGGCTAAAATACTGTGTTCACATGTATGTGAACTGAGAGGAAAGGGATGAAGGCAGACAGTTCTTCTGCTACTAAAATTATTGACCTCAAATTAGATATCAGTTAGCAAAGACGATAAACAAAAAGCAGAATCCAATGTATGCAACTGAAGTGCTGGAACGTAGTAGTAACAAGGAATGTTACACTTCCAGGTCTTTGGAGGCCACTTGTGCATTTTGGGATGTATTTAGGTGTATTTATCTCCAAAGGATGGAGATAGACCAGCTTTTCTGCCACATTTTTGGAGTCTAAGAACAAGAAGGATGGTGTAACTTGAGCCTTTTGAAAGAAAAAGATTATATGTACACCCGCACGCATTCACACATATCAGTGATGACGGATACTAGGAGAATATTATGATTTTACTTATGTTCAGAGAAAAGAGGTAGCTGCTTGCTTTCATTTGATAATTTGTCCTGGGAGTGAGTGACAAGGGCACCTTGTGTCAGCCTAAGGCTCTCTCTACATCATAGTGCAGCCCTCTGTTGAAGATACCTGGCAAATGTAGCTTCTTAAGGTAATCTTTTCTCTCAGTGTCACATGATGATACACTAGCTGCACCAGCTTGGTCCCAGGAAGAGCACAACCGAGTACGATTTGCACTGAGGCTGATTGGCCCTTTATATCAGTAAGCAACATTGCTCCATACTACTACCTCAGACGTTCTTTTCACTCACTGCAATCTAACCCACTTGTCCAATCTGTGCTATCTCTCTGAAACCTCCAGTGACTTCTCATTTTGGTCTTTTCAGCTGCTGTTGGCTAGGCAACTGAACTAAAAGCCAGCAGTTTAGAGGGAACCTGGGTGGGAAGCATTTGGACTGAGGAAACGGACATAGGAGAACCTGGGCAGAAGACTAGAATGGATCGTCTTAGAAACTGAGACTTGTACCAGTGATGCTGAAACTGGAATAAAAGGGATACAAGCAGGGTAGATCAAAAACAAAAAGAAGCAAACTTAGGCTGGAAGGGCAAAGAAACAAGGACTAGTAGCTTTTGGAGATCAGAAGGCTGGCAAGGCACAAGGAGCTGGAACTGTGGGACGGCTGAAACTGGTCAAGAAGCTCAGAGAGAGCCACTGGGAGGAAGAAGGGATGGGGAGGACAGCTGGAAGCAAGGAGAAAGAAGGAGCGTGGAATTCATGACGGGAGAAGGAACCTTTCACCCGTAGGCAACTAGTTTGAATCTGGTCCAAGTCAATAGTGAAGAAGAAGTAATGCCTATGGGGAGATATCAGAGGAGCTGTTGGTCTCGATCCAGTTCTTAGTCAACAGATGTCAGCATCACTGTTGGACTTAGCACAGCTGGAAGGCTTGCTGGCAGTCAGTAGGAAACCATAGGCTGATTGAGAAAGGAGGCAAGTCCACTACAAGAGGGAGGCCCATGAGAGGGACTCTTGGACTGTGTTCTCAGGCCTGCCACTTTCTTATTGTGTGACACTATGAAAGTTTTAAGTGAGAACTTGCAGCTGTTCAAGTTTACTTTGTGCCGGTTTGACCACTTGTTTAATGAGTGTTAGACCTTGTTCTCATTTAAAATTTAGACCATTCTTTATACCCCATAACCTCCTACGAGACAGGGTGAGCTGATCTTTTTTAGATCATTGTTAAAAAACCTGCCTTCAGTTCTCCTGCCCTCACCCATCTTAGCCATTTGATTTGCTCTTGCTAGCTGTAGTTATCCTGGGATATCCTTGGATCACAGCGCCAGTTCAACTTTCTACCCCAGTGGAAAGCTAGCTCAGCAACAAAAAGTGGAAGGTCTTCTGCTGAGTTAGTAAGTTTTTGGATACACATACAACATTTTGAAGTACTGTCCATTATTGTTTTCTTAGTGCTCCTAGTGGATCATAATCACCTGTTAACATTTCATATAACATAGTACAGAATAATTGCAAAATAACACTGCAAGTCAGCTGGCAAGTACTGCAGACCACCTGGTTTGACTGTAGAGCATTTCACAAATGCAAACCTTGCCTAGCAACAAAGCCTGCTTTCCAGGCTCCCTTTTATTTATGGAGAAACAACTCCTCCAAACGGTGACTCAGGGAGAATAGTGGCTATTGCTCTGAATCATTCCTAGGGGATGCTATCTTTCTCTCTGTTGAGTGGATGGCCTCCCTCAGGTATGGTTTCACAAGAGCTTACCACTGCTGGAAGAGGGAAATCCCCTCTCTCACTTTCCCTTTTCCTTCCTGGCTACATGCTTCTGCTTAATGTGTGCTGCTTCTGGCATTCATTGTAGCCCTCATAAATTAAGTTCACAAGAAAGCAAGCCCAACATGAGAGTGGGTAAGTTTTTGCTGTCTTTCGGAGTTACATCATCTCAGTGAATGGGCTGACAGCGCTAGCCAGTCCTGAGCCAAGACTGGAATGGGATGAATGAGACCTCCCTGTTTTGCCCCCTGAGAACTCTGGTGTTGGCTCAGGTGCCTATGAAACCATGCCCTAAGTTTGCTTTACCCTTCTCCTCCTTCATACTAACTGCCCCAGTTCCTTCACACACAGACACACATGCACACGCACAAACACATTCCCTGTTATTTGTTGAAAAGAACTC